CTAATCGTTAATCGCTAAGCGTAATCGCTAATCGTTAATCGCTAAGCGTAATCGCTAATCGTTAATCGCTAAGCGTATTACATGTCTGCTAAATTCTACTCTAATAATAATAACTAAATAAAACTAAGTGATAATAATAAAATAAGTAATGATAATAATAAAATACAATATCGGAATAAATAACTAATAAAATAATAAAATAATAATAAACTGTTCTATAACATTTCCGTCCCCTTATAAAAATTTGTTCCACAAATTTAAACTATTACAAAAAGTTAAAAAATAAAATTTCTGTTTCTATTATTTGTAATCATGTGATTTACAAATTATTGTTATTCCACGTTTGTTAAATCAATTTCCAATTGATTTCCAAATTTGTTAAATCAACATCCAGTTGGTTTCCAATGTTGTTTCATTGTAAAAAAAAAATTAATTATTGTTTGTAAGAAGAAAGAAAAATTTTATATCACTTTCTCCTCCTTTTTTTTTTTTTTTTTTTTAAAAAAAAAATTAACAACAACAATAATAATAACAATAATAATAAAGATAAAAATGCCAAGATATAGCCTTCCAAGAAGTGTTCGTAGAGCTCGTCGTAGTGGCAATAATACCCTATATGAGGCCTTAGGAGTTGTTCAAGATGAGAATAGACGGTAAATATTTAAAAAAAAAATTTTTTTTTTTTTTTTTTTTTTTTTTTTTTTTAGTATTAACTAAATAAAATTTCCTATAGTTTGCTTCGTTTGGTGGGCTCCCAGAGAAGAAGGATTCAAGAATTAGAAGAGGAGTTAGAAGAGTGTAGATCGAATGCGGTATTAAGAGTGCAGGATAGGTGGATGTTGGAAGAACGATGTACGAGATTATTGAATGAGAGAAATAGGTTGAGGGCCAGGTTGGAGAATTGTGAAGAAGAGTTGAGGAGATTACGAGGTGAAAGAAGGAGGGAGGATGATGATAATGGTAATAGAGATAGGTTGTCAGGTGTTGGATTTTAGATTATGTTGTTCGTTTTGTTTTTTTTTTCTTCATTTTTGTTTTTATAATAATAATAATAAAGTATAAAGTTTATAAAATTTAAATAAATAAAAATATAATATAATAAAAAATGTGTAAAATTGTTCGAAGAAGAAAATAAAAAAAAAATTCTTTTTCCAGTATTTCAACCAAGGGCCCTACTGAACTTGGATCCTAAGCAGAGAGCTCCCCCTAGCCAGTCTCGAACGTATGACCTATACTGTCTGGTAATACGCCTTACACTGTTAATCCATACCAGAAATATTACTAAATTCCAAATTTGTACTCCTTTTGGAGATCAATAAAATAATTTAATTGTCCAATAAGAATTTAAGATTTCATGTGATTTGTGTAATAAAATATTTTAAACGTAAAAGAAAATAAAAGTTTTGGTCCTGCCAATAAAAAAAATAAATAAAATAAATAAGTGTTTAAGAAATTTAAATTCAATAGCCTCCTAGATACTATAAGGGTTGAATAGGTCCATGTTTGGAGCGTCACCTATTGGCCTTTGTGTATTGGTCAGGCTTAACAAGATTGTTTACCCTTTACAAGGATTACTAGCCACTTAAACTTAGAAATATCCCAAGACATAACCAGAGGAATAAGTACTAATAATCAGACTGTTAACAGCTATATGTGGCCTTTAAATTTCAATAATATAAAGCTAGTACTTGCCAGAGTACTATTCACGAATACAGCAATCACTTTATATTATTTGCAAGAAAGAGAAAACTATAACTAATAAAAGATAATAAAGTATATAAAAAAAAATAATTGTCATATATATGGTGTCTAAAACTAATCTCTTTTAGTATCTAGTATCATGATAGAACCTAAAAGAGATAAGAACTTTAAGGATTAGATAGTCTGATTCAATTAGAAAAATTCTCAAAATTTTTCGTCTATGTGGCACAGTAAAAGAAAATGTTTTTAAAGGTATACTTCTGAATAAATGATTTTAAGGCCTTTTCATACTATGTAATCTTGCCTTGGGTCATTAAGTAAAATTGTAGAGAGGATCTTTCTGATTCTAATGGTTATTAAATTTTTGAAATCGGTTTAGTAGATATCGTTTTATCATGATTTTAAGAAATGCCGAATGTCTCTTTTCTCTTCTTAAGATTTCTTTGAAGATCATTTTTATAGACGTTAAAAATGCCGTCATGACTTCAGAGCTGATTTGCGGGTCAGATAAGCATTTTCTTAATAAGATATAGTATAATAAGAAATGTAGAGTAGGTTTCTGCGAGTAGAATGACATGTGAATCATCTTTCTACGATTCAAACTCATAGAGATATTGACGAAAAACGAAAAGCATCCAAAAATCGTTTTTATATTTTCTTCTTGTATATTCGTTTTGATGTTTCTGCTAAAGGTTCTTGTTTTCATCAGTAATTTCTGGTAATAAATAAATTCTTTTGCTTGTGGTATTAATGTTATAGACTTGTTGTTCTCTGGGTTGGATCCTTACGCCTACACTTTGGCTCTTGGGGAATCCGTCAATGTCCTTGGGGTTGGACCCTTACGCCTACACTTTGGCTCGTGGGGAATCCGTCAATGTCCTGGGAATGCGTCCAGGCACCAGCTAAATAAATCCTTGGTGGCGGGGGTTGTCGTCCGCAATACTCAATACAATACAATCCGGGATAACTATCGTCCGGTAAACAGCTAATAATCAAGAGGGGCCGGGATAATGTCGTCCGGTAAAGGTTTTAAAATATTTCTGTCAGGATAACTATTCCAATTCATCTGGGTCTTTGCCAGAATGACTAAATTTAATTTTATGTTTTCATTAATGTGTACATGGTTGAACCTTCCAAGCATTAATGTTCAAGAGTACTTGATAGAATCTTCCTAGCTTGAATAATAAAATTAAATCTTTTTTTTTTGAAATTATTTTTATAAGGGTAGAAATATACCATCAGTCACTTTTGCTCAGAAATAACAAACTGTTATGATAATGTCTTTTGAGAGAGAGGCCTGGGAACTACCTACATCCAGGGCTTATTCTAAACTAAACCAAGCAATAAAATTTAAAGAAAATGGGTCTGTGTGAAATAGTCAACTATACTAATTATTAGGAAGAATGTTCATGTCAATATATCATTATCTCCTATATGTAGTGGTCAAATAGTCATCTCTTTTAGTATCTCTAACCAGTATAGAACTAAAAAGAAATGAGATATCTCTATATCATATAATATCTTGAGGTCTGGAAAAAAAATTCAAAGTTTTCGTCTATAGGGCACAGTAAAGGAAGATCATTTCAAGAATGCATTTTTTTACAAAAGTATCCCGAATATGATTTTGGTAATAAGCAACTATGTCTTGGGTCCTTAATTAAAGTTGTAGAGCAGACTTCTACGATTCTAACGGTAGTTGAAACGTTAAATTTGGTTCAGTGGTTAACGTTCTACGGCGATTTAAAGAAATCCCGAATCTCTCTTGTTTTCTTCTTTTGTCATCTCCAAGAAGGGTTCTATAGACGTAGAAAAATGCCGTCACTACTTTGGAAACGATTTACGAGTCAGGGAAGCGTTTTCGTATTATGATATAGTATAATAAAAATTGTAGGGCATCTTTCTGTGAGTAGAATGATATCTGTTTCATCTCTGTAGGATTAAAACTCATGGAGATATTGAAGGAAAACGAAAGATATCCAAAAATCGTTATTATGAAATTTTTCTTCTTTCTTTCTTTTCTCTTTTTCTCGATATTGGTACTAAGTTAATAGGTCTTACTATTTAGATGAAAAATATAGAAGGAGTTTCTACAAATCTAAAGGAGATGAGTTCATCCAAAACAGACAGATGGATGGTGAGATATTAAGGGTCAAAGTTTGTGTACTGATATTCGGAAAAAGAAAATTCGTAAAGAAATTGTTGTAACAATAAAGGAGTTAAAACTTTAACGATCTATAGAGAATCAGAGAAGCATTTTTGTATTAAGTAACCTATATATGAAAATGTAAAGAAAAGCTTCAAGAATCTAAAGAAGGTGAGATTTTAAAGATAGGACAAAAATTCGTAGAGCTATTAATAAAAAACGATGATCAACTAATTTTTATCTTCCACCAGGGAAGGTTTGTTATGTTCGTTCAAAAATTATTTTTCATTTCCGCCAGGAGGCACCAAATGTTACAGTACCGTGGCCTTCTTAACAGCAGTACTATAACAATGACACGGCTACA